GTGTAGCTTCACCCAGACAACCAGCCCAAGAAAACTCTAAGCCATGGGTGGAAAATCACTCTCAGCCGCTGTCTTGGTGGATAAGATGGCAAACTCCTCAGTCAGCGGAGAAACATAAAAACTTAAACACAAATAATATAAGACACATGAAATCCGATGTAAAGTGGCAGCCAAATGGCACTAGTGTACTCACAACGGAGCACATGCATACGCACACCAATGCATAATGTTGCAAACAGCAATTGAGCTGCTGTTTGTAGTGGAGCATAGTTAAATAAAGATGACAATCTCTCTCTTCTCTCTACCTCTCTCAGAGAGCTGGTGAAACAACAGAAGGAGCTAATCGCTGCAGAGACAGCTTTGGAACAGCAGAGGCTACATAAGCACAACCTGCTGCTGGCCTGTAAAATTGAAAGCCTTCCCCTCACTCTGCTTTCAGGAACACTGGATGAGATCAGCGACATTCAGGTACACAGACAGAATGCCCAGCATTATCACCAGTTTCATCAACTTTATTAAATTAGCATCTACTGAGATCGTTCAGCCCCACACTAGTGTTTTGATATCCCACAGTGCAGTACTTGTCCTTGGGCTCATCATTAAAGCTTTGCTTAGAAGTTTCTCTGCTTTAGGGTACTTGATTCATCTTATCAAGAGTTTAATCATAGCTGAATTTAGTGTGCCATATGAGCATTAAACTACGCAGTGCTTGGCTGTACTAAGAGGTGAACCGGAACACACTACCTCTGTTTAAAACTATATTGCAAAACTTGATATTTACAGGAAATTATGAAATACTGCATAAATACTGCATAAATAAATGTATTTGCTCTGTCGATGCAGTGTTGTTGTTTCATAAGTATCCTATTACAGTGAAATCTCTTTACTCTCAAACACAGCTGGACTCTGAGTCCCAGACTACTTGTACCCTGGACATCTATGAGCGTGAGGCACAAATGGTGTTTGACTATGGACCGCTAGGAGACGAGCTAAAAGTGAGTCTGAGTATGCGCACACAGACAGACATCACTTTCGTCTGAAAAGTATTTTTTCTGAGAAGTCACTCCTGAGTTTTTACTTGAGTAATTCAGCAAGGTGTTTCATTCCCGCTTACATGTTTCAACGTAGATTGTCCAAATGAACAAATAAACAAATAAAAAATGCACACCCTGATGGCATTGTTAGAGACTGTTTTCACAAAGATGCAGTTTTTCTCAGGCAAGAGAAAGGCCCCAGGCAGGATGGTGGGGCCATTATAGAATAACCTTATATGTGTGCGCAGAGTCTGACTGAGGAGGATGAGGTGGAGACCCAGTTGGAGATAATGCAAGAGAGAGTGTCACATCTGGAAAAACTGATACAGGTGTCCAAACCACCCAACCTGAAGGCCCTGGAGAAGATGAAGGAGGTGAAAGACAGCTTCCGTGGAGTCATAGACGGTAAACAGTGGTCACCAACTGTTAGCCTGGACAGCTACCTTCATGCAGAGCTCAGTTCCAACTCCGATCTAACACTCATCCAGGTAATCAAGCTGTTGCTAAGGCTTTTGCTGGGTCAGTCACGTTAGATTAGGGTTGGAATTGAGCTCTGCTTGAAAGTAGATCTCAAGACGTATAAATCTTTGCTTCATTTTCATCATGACTGGAAACTCTTTCACTGTATTTGGGCAGATACTCACATCTGGCCTTTTTCCAGATTTTTCCAGTATACATGTCATATCTTTCCAAAAACTGTCCAAATTTGGACCTTATTTGCTCAGCAAATTAAGAGATGCTTGCAGATCCTCTGCAGATGTGGATCCTTCACCACTATAGGGCAATCCCAAATTGAACCTTTTATAAACAAATGTCTTTTTGTATGTGTTTGTTTGTGTGTGTCAGCGTTTGAGGCCAGCACAAGCGTAGCTAAGAAATGCCATCAGGAGTTTGAACAGGTGAAAGCAAAGCGCTTCAGTCTCTTCAGCCAGTGCTTTGAGCATGTGTCGGTCGCCATCAACCAGATCTACAAACAGCTGTGCAGAAATGACAGTGCGCAAGTGAGACTCGTATATCTCCCTCTTTCTCTTTTCTGTGCTCACTCTCTCTGAGAGCGCTGAATACTGTGGGAGCTACACAGGTTCTGAGTCTGCATACCATATACATGCAGCATTTTCCTGAAGGATTATTTAAAGCATCAGTGATTCTGCATACAAGTTGCATTATTAAGTGTATTTCCTCTGTCTCACTCTCTCTCTTGCACTTTACACACTTTACAAAGATTTTAATATGACACTTTTTAGTAATTTTTAGTAAGAAAATTTTGACTCATTTTTTTGCTCTAGGCTATTCTGAGTGCTGAGAATCCAGATGAGCCCTATCTGGATGGCATCAGCTATAACTGTGTGGCGCCTGGTAAGAGATTTATGGCCATGGACAATCTATCAGGAGGAGAGAAGTCTATTGCAGCCCTTGCTCTGGTGTTTGCTATCCACAGGTAAAACTCAACATGTATTAGCACACCAAGCACAAAGGATATAGTCTACTGTCAGTTAGTTAATTGACAGTATATCTTACGGTAATAATAATAACATCGACAGCCTGACATGCTTTCTCTTTCTTCAGAACTAAAAATTTATCTGTATTTATGAATGAACTGGTTATAATAATAATTGCTGAAATAGTTATTTCCTTTGAATGTTTTTTAGTGATCCAGGCTTTTGGCTTACTCTGTTTACGTTTATTTCCAGCTTCCGCCCGGCTCCATTCTTTGTGTTAGATGAGGTGGACGCTGCATTGGACAACACAAACATCGGCAAGGCAAGACCACCCTTACTGTCATATTTACTGTATACTGTACCGTATATTGTTCTTGTTAAAATCAAGAAAGTCACTTAATGTGTCAGCAAAAAATACAATACTGGAATCCAAAAAATTATGTAAATGTAATGTAACCGAGCCAGGTAGTCCACTCAGTTGTGTTCCAGATACATGTATACACTCATTTTAATATGATACTAACACACCACCACCACATCAGTGTTACTGCAGTGCTGAGAATGATCCTCCACCCAAATAGTACCTGCTCTGTGAGGGTCCATGGGGGTCCTGACCACTGAAGAACAGGGTAAAAGGGGGCTAACAAAGTATGCAGAGAAACAGATGGACTACAGTCTGTAATTGTAGAACTACAAAGTGCACCTATATAGTAAGTGGAGCTGATAAAATGGACAATGAGCGCAGAAACAAGGAGGTGGTCAAAGAATCAAAGAATACTTTGATTAAACACTTTGATGTTTGATACTGTGCTTATATGCAGAAATGGTTTGCTTTTGGGTGAACATGTTCAGTGAAACCTGTTTTGTCAGAGAAGATTTTTTGAGTGATATTTTGAGTTTCTTTTTTTTGTCCAGGTAACAAGCTTCATTAGGGAGCAATCCAGAGAGAACTTCCAGATCATCGTCATCTCACTGAAAGAGGAGTTTTATTCACGCTCAGATGCTCTGTTAGGGGTCTATTCTGAGGTACACACACATATATACACGAGGCGCACTCATATATACACATAAACGTGATCTGAATTTGAAGTGAACCTTCCGTTTCCTCACTCAGCGTATATCAAACAGGCTACTCCTGTTCAGACCTGCTGCTGTTTGTTGTTTTTATGTGAACTCCTTTTTATCGCCCCCTGCAGTTTAATGAGTGCATGTTCAGCCGCCTCCTCTCCCTGGACCTCACTCCATACGCCCTTAATGAGGAGAACGGCAATGAGAGAGACAAAGAGATTTGATGGAGAAACAAGGAAAGAAGAGAAAGAAGCAAAATGACGAGATGGCTTGGTTCTCGACAGCAAAATAGATTTTGAAATGTTCCTACTTCTGCAACTTCTGGAGTTCACTTTGGATCATCTTGCTTTAGAATCACCCTCTTTAAAGGGGAATTCCAGCATTTTTTCAAATTTTACACATGTGTAAGCAAAATCATTTAGAATGGTTTGATGTGAAATGCACCATTTCTAGAGACACTTACTGATCCGCGTCGGTAAGTTTCCCTACAATGAACCGTTTCTCATCAAATGATTTGTATACATTTCAAAGACTGAATAATGCAGAAATTCCCCTTTAAATGTCTATGTTGACTTTTCGGTTATTATATCAAATAGCAGTTGTTTTGCATTCATTTAGGAACAGTTCACAGTATAGTAGCATTTGCTACCTCTTTCAGAATATTTCTGTCTTGGTAATGTTACAGTAGCACGTGTGTATGTTTAATAGGCATAGGTTTGTGGCTTGTTTTGGAGAAGCCAAGGAATGTTTCTTGTTGCAGTGCTGAAAGGAAGATTTCCAGTGTTTAAGGCTGTTTTTTTCCAATAAACGTTTTTTTCCAATAAATTCCTATAAAGGTTTAGTTTTTGTAAAGGTTTACTTCTTTATATTTATCTCCAAAATGATAACTAAATGATAACAAACCGTTCTTTACTTTTAATGTAAGTCAATGGAACCAGACTTTTTTCTAAGTCATTTTAAATCATTTCTTTTAGTCTGTTCATCATGAAATTTACATACAATATAAAGGGTAACAGGTATTTTCAAATTGTCAAAAACTGAAAAATGTCAAAAATGGAGATACAAGGTTTTCTTCAGATAACAGTGATTAATTTATATATATATATATATATATATAGATATATATATATGTATGTGTATATAGATATATATATATGTATGTGTATATATATATATATATATATATATATATATATATGTGTGTATATATATATATGTATAATTCTTACTAAATATGTCACAAAAACGTCAGCTCAGACTGGCTGTGGTCTCCTGAAACCTCATTAGTATCACTGTCTCACTGGTCTGACCTCTCACTCTCTTGAAATCTTTCTCTCCTTCTCTCTCATCCCTTTCCTTCATCACATGCCCTGCCGGGGTGTGGGTTAAGCTGAGAATGGTGATTTTCATTTTTCTCTCTTAACCTTTTCCAAATCTCCGTCTGTTGCTGACACTTTTCATGGCGTCCTACACAGTGGTCGTGGTCCCTCTACGGAGCAGCATCAACAGCCTGGATGCCTTGCGATTCTTCCTCTGGGTTAGTCCTTCTGTTTACTGTTACGTTTTAAGTCATTAAGATACTATGGAGACTTCTAAAAGCCTGTTGTGAATTCTTACTTTGATGTGAATCTAACCTGATCTTCCTATCATGTAGCCTGAGCACATTGCTGAAAGCTTCATTTTCTCCTGTACATAGACATAGTCGCTTACCAGTGCTTACTGCCCATAGTGCACGTACTAAATGTGTCTCTGTTTATCTGTCTTTAACTATGGGCAAGGTGTTGCTTATTATCTGGTTGTAAAGTTAAACTGGCACTTTTTGTGAGTGAGAAAAGTTGGGAAAGGTGGTCATGTTGATACATTAACCTGGTCTGGTATTGAAATGACATTATTGACTTCACGTTTACTGATTACAAGTCTAGCTTGTAGTCTATAAATGAGTTTTGCTTCATCATACTCCCCTCATGTCAACTATCACAGCCCACTGCAAAATTCCTACCAGGCTTCTAGAGGGTGTCTGTACTTCCCACGTCCATAAGAAAGTTCTACACAATCTATTTTTATTCAGCTCACTCATCAGCCATTACCATAAATAAAGAAATAAATAAAAAAACTTAAAACTGGCTTATTTTAAACTCATGAGAGATCTGATCTGGGTACTGAGAAATATGCATTTCTATTTTGTTTGAAATGTTTAGGGTTTTCATTATTTGTAATGAAAGAAGTGGAATTACAGAAGTGGCCTAAAGAAGAGTATCTTATTACATGTAATATATTGGCTTAGAGAATATTACAGGAGACATCAAGAGTGGGTAATAACTACTTACATGTACTCTTCTGTTACTATTATTAATGAAATACAATTTGTTTACTAGGAATTTACTACTTGTACTCATCTGTGGGAAACTGTTCAATTATTCAGGTACAGTTAAAGGGCCCATATCAACAGAAAATCTAATTTGCGGGTTGAAGTAAAATGTACATATTGTTAAAGCTTCAAAACGTCCATACAGTTCATTAATGGAAACTAAGCTATAAAAAAGCCAGTTTTATGATTTACATATGCTCACCTGCTCAGCCGACAGCAGTTAAGCCCCTGGCTTTTTAAACAAGGCACAATACAGGGCAGTCAATCAGAACAGGGCTCATTTATCAGTAACAAGCCTGTTTAATTCCAAAGGATAAAGACATGTTGGAAAAAATTGTTATGTAGAAATGAATTATGACCATTTTTGTAAGTTGACCATAAAAGGAAGAAATCAAATACAAGATAAAAGTGTAGGATTTGTGCATAAGTCCTGCATATTTAGTTACTAATTGTTTTATTGCATTTAACATTGTTGGTGACCGTGTCTGTACTGCTTTGTGATTCATCACATGTCTGACTTTGGACATTCATCATCTGTTTGAAACCAACAGTGTTTGAAAAAGAGAAAAAATAGAAGAACAGACTTTAGATTAATAATTACTTAAAGTAGTTCTTTTGGAAAGGTGCTTCTACTGGACTCATTGTTTCACAGAAGTGAAAATACTTTTATTCAAGTGGGTTCAAGCTGCTCTTCTCACCTCAGCAAGTACAGGACATAGCAAAAGAGGAAGAGAAGAAGCGTGCCATCTTTCCCTTCCTAGGAGAATGCTGTGAATTCTTCTGCCTGAGAATGTTGGTCATGAATGGTGGAGTGGTGGACAGAACAATATTGAACCTTCGATACCTCCAATCATCATTTACTTTTGAGAATCAATTCTTATGTGAAAATATTGATGTGTTTTCTAAAAGCAGTAAACTTGAGTGTCTGTTCGTCAAATTAAATTGACAGTGTCTGATGCTATAAAAGTAAAATCAAAATTATTCATTTGAACTAATCAATCATTTAAACTAATCAAATTAATCAATCACCCATTGCAGAACTGACTCTGTGTGTTTTTCCTTTCTTTCCTTTGCCGAGTTGAACAGCTGCCCATCTTGTGCGTTCTGATGCTGCTGCCTCTTCTGCCTTGATCGGGTGCCACTGCTCGCCATGCAAACCTCACCCTCACAACCTGACCCCACTGATGCTGCTGCTGCTGCATGAACTAAACTATTCAAATTAATTGTTTGCTCCACCTCTTTCCCTGTTTTTGTACTACAATACTTTATACTGACAATGTTTACTATCTGGTGTCGACCAGAGGAGGATGGGTTCCCCTTCTGAGTCTTGGTTCCTCTCAAGGGTTCTTCCTGTTTCCTAGGGAGTTTTTCCTTGCCACTGTCACCACTGGCGACGCTCATGGGGGCTCGGACCCGGATTTCTTTTTGTAATGCTCATTTCCTTGTAAAGCTGCTTTGTGACAACACCTGTTGTAAAAAGCGCTATATAAATAAACTTTACTACTTACTTACTACTTACTAAAAAAAAACAAGTGATTGTTCATTTCCTTCCTACCGCTCTCCAAAAATCCAGGCCAAAGTGCTGCAGAGAGTAACAGTGCACAGTGTATAGTATTTATCCTCATCTAACGTTCTGAATTCAGTCCATGAAGGGCCTTGCTAATTAGCTGATGAGCTGAATTAGGTGTGTTTAATGAGGCAGTGTGCTGAAGTCTGCAGTGTTTTGGCCTGCAAGGACTGAAGCCTTACACATGATCTACAGGTTCTTTGGGGTGATTTTCTGGGTGTTGGGAGGGAAAACCATTCAAGTACAGCAGACAAATGCCAAAAGATTGAGGAAAGCAAAAAGTTTGTTGCTTAATAATTTTATTTAATTTTACTTCATGAAACTACTTAAGCAAAAATATCTAGAATTACATTAAATAATCGTTAAATTTACAGTCTCAAAATCATCAACGTTTAAGATGATTTCACTTACCAAGATATCATTTTTTGTGTAGATGGTTGTTCCACTCAGAAGTCCAGAGCCCAAAATAATAAAATAATGTGAATCTGGGGGCCCAATTTCCATCTTTTGCCTACACACTCAGAAAAAGAAGGTACTAAACTGACACTGGGCAGGACCTCTCTTGTCACTGGATGGTACCCTCAAAGGTACATCTTCAGTACCCTTAGTCAGGGAACATAATTGCATCTTAAGTGACTCCACATACCTTGTTTTGTCTCCAGCCTTTTTATTTTATACATCTGTTTTAAAACATGAGGTTATGAAAAGGTATAAATATGTACCTTTTCCCTGGAAAAACTTACTTAAGATGCACAGTTGGACCTTAAAACCATTGTTGAACCTTTGAGGATACAGTCACATCGCTTGTGTCTTGATGTATCTGCCCAGTACCTGTTTTTCTGACAGTGCAGAGCCTTAGAATCAGTAAATCCACCCTTCTTTACATGCACAAAAACACATTTAAAAGTTTCAGAACTGGTAACTGGATATCGGTGTTGAAATTGAATCCAAAATAAAATTTCTCATATTGCCCATCCCTGCCAAACATTGATCTGAGCTCCTATGAGGGGACTATAATGATTATTTCTTGTTCTGCTGACAGGTGAAGAAACTGCAGGAGCTGGAGAGGGAGAGGGACTCTCTGTGGATGGGTCTGCAGGCTCTGGAGCAGGCCCGGGCCTGGCTGTGCTATAAAATGGAGCAAAACAAGCAACCGTGGGTCAGTAGGGGTTTATAAGGTGCATTAATGCATCAATGTTTCATTGCTCTGAAGGTGGTGATTCACAGAGGTGGGTAGTAACCAGTTACATTTATGCAGTTACACACAAAATTGTAATGGATTAGTACGTTTGAGTAAATCTTTCATATTTACTTCAGTATATTTTTGTGAAGAAAGGAATATTTTTACTACTTTTTACATTTTGGTTATAAACAATTAATTCCTACTTCCTTTTTAATGCTTAATTTTATTCTATTGCATTGGTGGCAGCATCTGTATTGCTTTGTAATTGGTCATAATTCTGACTTTTGAGCTCCAGCATTTTATTTTAGACCAGGGGACGGCAACATGAGGCATTTACTGCCCTCTTGTGGCTCCACAGCTGAATTAGATTTTTAGGTAAAAATAAAATAATCCTCCTTCACAGTAAAATAAAGCTCTGCTGATCGTTCAACACAGTTTTAACAATAAATGGTCTAAAATGCTGGAGTTAATGTAAAACTGCTAATTCACCCTTTAACCCTGAAGGTTGGTGTACAGACTGCTGGTCACCATAGCAACACAGACAACAGTCTCACCTGGCTAGTGGCTAACAAAAAGACAAAGAGAAAGATTTAAGATGAGCATAGATAATTTGGACTTATTTGCCTTTATAATCACTCCAGCTGGTTTCCTGATATGTTTAACCTGCAGAGCGAAACTGTCAAACACTGGAAAGTCACGAAGCTGAAGTCAACTTCTCATTCAATTTTTCTTGTTCCACCTTAAATGGTGCCTGCTGCAGCATTTAAGGTGGAACGGGAAAATTTGAACAAGAAGCTGGTGAATGAGAAGCGACTTCAGCCTCATAAAAATCTAATGTTGAGAGACATTTTACAAGAAACTATGGTACTTTTGGAAAAATTTCCTGCCAGAGATGTGAGAAAAGCAGCTATAGCTGAGCTAAAGCTTAAAGCAGAGCAAAATAAGTCTACGTTTTTTGTTTATATTAAATTAGCCTATACTAGGACATTAGCACATACTGAGACACATACAGTCAAAATGGTAAAATGGACATAAAGTGTTGTGACTCCCAAGGTGGTTTGATTTTTGAAAGGACAAAATGGCTCTTCTTAGCATTTGGGTGGCCGACCCCTGTTCTAGACCAACAAGACAGAAATAGAAGAACAGAGTCTGACACACTTCAGTTCTGTGCTGATAGATGCTGAGTGGACCAGTGCAGTTCTATTCATACTACTTAGTAGTAGTTTTCTGAGCTGCTACTTTTGTGTTTAGGTATTTAAAAATACTTTAATTATGCTAGAATGATAATTTCACAGAAGTAACACTTGATAGGGTTTAGGCTGTTCTGCCCTCCTTGTGTGATTCATCGAACTGATTTTGGAATTTTAAAATGAATTTAAATCAGTCATAATAACATTCAGTAAAGTATGCACTCATTATTTGGTTTTGCCAAAATATAGTATATAGGCTATTTTACAACAAAAAAGATTGGTACATGGTTTGTTCCCATAAAAAGATGTTCTTGTGTGTGATGTATATGGTTGTTCTGCTGTCTTAGGGCCTAAGCCCTGCAGCTCTGTGGGCTCAGTTGCAGGGAGTAAACAGGACACTGCACAGTGTGACGTATGACCCCCACTTTCCAGCACAGACAGCCCTCAGGTAAGACTGTTAACATGATGCTGCGTGATCAGCAGATCTACTTCCATGTGATTTACAAACACAGACTCCTCCCAGCAGATAACTTACAGATAACATTACATTCTGTCTATGCAATATTGCATATACTGCATACATATGTGACATACTTGTACAGTTGTATGCAATAAATTTGGGCAGCCATGCTCAAATTCATTTTAGTGAAAGTGAAAAGATGTTAACATCTGCCTAGAACAAGGTTATATATGACAAATTTCTGCAAGTTTTAATGCATAATTACCATTATTTTGCTGAATTTAATTTATTGAGAATTTATGAGACTAAAGACAGTTGAATCTTCCAAAGCAAGAGAAGACGTCATTATGAAATGGCAGTTAAGGATCAAGACAATATCTGGAAGATGGAGAAAAATCTTTGAAATGAACTGCAATGAACTGCAAAAACTGGTTAGTTGTTGCTGCTGTCAGGACAAAACCTCGTATCTCCATTTCTGTTGTTTTTCATTTTTTGACATAATTAGAAAAAGGCAGCTGTCCTGTGTCAAAATGATGAACGAACCAAAAAAATGGTCCAAAATAAAATATTAATATAAATAAAAATATTTCTTCATTTACTTCTATTAAAAGTTGAGAACGTTTTTCCTTGTCGTGTAAAGTTACTTTTTTTTGATATAGGAGGTTTTGTTCCCACAGCAGTGATATGCAAAGCGAAACCCCCACATCACTGCCAATGGCCAATGGGAAGATGTACTGTGCAGTGTTATTGGACAAACATCATCTACACGGAAGGGTCATCAGATGGAAACCTGAGCTGTGATCTCATCGCAAAAGTCAACATTTGAAGTACACAACACAACACTTAAACCAAACCAAAAAACAAACCAAACCATAAACCAAAGACATTTTGAAATTAAGTGCTGTGGACTGATGAAGCAAAAATAGAACTCTTTGGCGATAATCACAAAAGGTATCTTTGGAGAAAAAAAGGAGCTGCATTTGATGAAAAGAACACCTTGCCAACTGTTAAGTATGGGGATGGATCTATTATGCTTTGGGGTCATGTTGCAGCCAGTCGCACAGGAAATGTTATTTGAATAGAGGGATAAAAGAAGTCTACAAAAAGTGCTTGAAAATAACAGCAAGACAATGTTCCAAAACATATATTAAAATGTCAGCATTTATTTACTTCAAGAAACAAAGAATTTAGGGTTTGGGAATGGCCTTCAGCATTCCCAGACTTAAATATTGTTGAAATTCTGTGGGTAGATCTCAATCATGATGTGCATGCCAGAAAACCTATGAGTATTTCCAAACTTGTGCGTATTCCACATTTTATGTTTTTTTTTATGTTAAATTACACAAATAAATAATAATTGTGCATTAAACCTTAGATAAAAATGTGATGGTTGTTCCATGCTGAGGTGGTATTATTTTCTTTTTGCTTAGAAAATTATTTTCTATATATAATTTTACCCAAATGTGTCCAAACTTTTGCATATGTATACAGGCATACCTTCACGGCAAAACAATTTATTATGATAGTTGAGTAAATCATACGTGATAATACCATGCTGTACATTGTTGTTGAGGCAAAAGTCTAAGGAATGCTTTAAACCAGTAAATGGGAAGTGAATTGTTTGTTCTGCCCCGTAGGAGTCCGAGGAGTCGAGGCACACCAAATTTCCAAAGCTTGTACAGGAGACACTGTGATGGACAGTTTTGATGGACCAATGACGTCACTGCCAGATCAACATAAAAGTGTTAATTCTTCATTCTGTTATCTAAAATGTTGGTCATTTTCACTTACAATCAAATGTTTGCAGTAAAATTATACACCTCCGATTTATAATGGTAGCACTTGTTAATATGGAAATGGTGACGCATCTGTTTGTCTCAAAAAATTGCCTTTGTGTATTTTTCATTACTGAAGTGTATTGCAGTTACTTGCCCCCCCCCAAAACACAGATACATTCTCACTCTGCCTTTATATAAAACATATTTCTTTAAGTGAAACTTTAAAATGAACACTCCAACCTCTCTTTATCTCTTTGAATTAAATAAGCTGGTTTCCTACTGTACATTTAAGACTTAAATATGCCGATGAACTCTATTTCTGTTGCCTGTGCTTATTATGACTTCATTGAGAATGGGCGGGGCTACACTGTTATAAGCTGAATATGTGTGAATACATTGGTTTTCGTGACGTCGCAAAAATAATGAATTCAAATCGGACTGTTTTTGCAGCTTAATTTCCATATTTCAGTATTTTTTTGGGCTGTGTAGACTGGGTCGTGAAACGTACTTCAACAGTGTTTACATCTACATCAAACTCTTATTTAAAAAAAAATGGTTCTCCACAGACTTTTAAAAAAGAAAATTTAGAGAGTGATCCAAAAATTCCACAATAATTAAGCTATTTTTTCTGAAAACAACAACAGCAATGCTAATAATAAATAATAAATCTGTCCTCTGCTTTAGCTCACGGACTTTTATTTTGAACTCTTGCCACGTTCGCGGCCATACTGGAAAGAAGCTGGCGGCGAATTCAAGGCGCCGACTGACCGTTTGTACAAACATTGTATGGAAGAGACACAGAAATATGAAACAACAACAGTACTGACTAAAACATTACGAATAAAGGATGTTGAGGAGAAGAAGCAGCAGCAGCAGCGCGAAAGGCTTGACCAAGCGGAGGAGCAGCAGTGTGAGCTTCGACGAGTTCGGCTTTGCGTTCAGTAAGAAAAGAGAGAAGAAGCTGCAGCATAGATGCCATGATTACAGGTGGGCGTAACGCTGGAGCTCATTTCACTGTCTTTAAAGCTTCAACATCGCATTAACACGTATCTTACATGCCAGCTAGATGGCTGTGTGACCGTAGACACTATTATTTTACAATAATAAGACACTTATTATTAGTTACAGCAGACGTTTCCTCAAAAAATGGCACTGTAATCAAACTAAAACGCCTGAAAACGCTTTAACGGTTTTTTTTCCGTGATAACCGCCGCTGTACACACTTAAAAAAGACAAGCGTTCACTAGTGAAGGTTCTGCGTTCCTTATAGAACCATTTCATGCTTAAATGGTTCTTTGCATGGTGGAATGGTTCTTTAGACTGATGGAAAATGTGTTGTATAAGGTTCTGTAGAGAACCTTTTTGAAAATGGTTTTATATAGCACCAAACAGGGTTCTGCTTGTTACCATGTCAAGCTCGATATAGAGCCATTTTCAAAAAGGTTCTGTATAAAACCCTGTATAACACATTATTCATCAATCTGAAGAACCATTCCACCATGCAAGGAACCATTTAAGCATGAAACGATTCTGTATAGAACTCGAGGTTCTGAATGGAACCCTTGCCTTTACTAAAGAACCCTTGAAGAACCTTTTTAAAATGTGTTGTGCACTTACTGAAATGATTACAAAATACAGTACAACATCGGAATCAGAATCAAGCTTTATTGGCCAGGTTTGCTTACACATACAAGGAATTTGGTTTTGGTTACAGGAGCTCACAGTGCACAGTATCAGACAGACATTTACATGTAGTGAATGAAATAAAATAAATATAAAATAAAATACAAAAAATAAAATAAAAATAAAATGAAACATGCAATCCTACCATCACTCGCTCATACAGACACACACACACACACGTTCATATCTGTAACCTTTACATCGTGTTAAGTATGTGTCTGCAGTTAAAGTGCTGAGTGCAGCAGCAGTTAAAAGGTGTATAGTGGCAAAGAAAGGGATCAGTGAGGTGACAGTCAAGATTAGTGGGGTAATAAGGCACAGATTTTGGCCCTGTGTCTTATTTAGGGGTATATAATTCACGCAAGAACACAACATGGCTTTACAAAACTGGAAAACAAGTTTGTCTTTTAAGGAAAAATGCTGACTATTCCCGTCTCCTTCCTCCAGCTATCCGCAGCCAAACGCCCTCAAAGTCAAGGAGCTGTGTGAATTACTGAGCTACTGGAATGGATCCAGTTTCATTTGCAGAAATCAGGTATAGACCCTATTTATACACATCATTCTCTACACCTTCTGTTGATTTTCATACAGTATGTACTTTTCCCAGGTCACGCATAGATTTACATGTCATATAGCTTATGATACTTATATGTTTTTAATCATTTTCTGCATTGATTTGATGGAGTGTGAGAAATGTGGCTTGTCTTATGATTAAATAAACAAAGTCTTTTCCTGTGTTGCTTATGAGTGATGTGTTTTTTCTTGGAGCTCAGATTGAGCGGTTTATCCGAATTGGCATCCCTCCAGCGCTGCGAGGGCGGGTGTGGAAGTGCCTGCTGGACGTTGACGCTGTCAGAGTGTCCAGTGACTTCAGCTATCAGGTGCATCCCAGTGGACAGATGTTTAAGTCTCTCTAGTCAGAAACACTGTGATCTGATGGTTTTCCTGTTTGCTTTTTGCAGCCTAGTAGATGAATCTGTACATACACCAAAGATCCACAGGGGAGACGTTCTAATGTACTTCTCAAATGTAAGAAATTCAAATCCACTGTTTTTCTGCATAATTTAAGATGTAAACAAAGTCATTCAGAGTGCTTCATTCTAAAGAACTGTCAGAATTGCTCACAGTGGTGGTGATAGGAACCAGACATGTGAAGAGTGTAGTGTTTCTAGACTTTGGCTTGAAATGTGTTCTCAAAACTGATGAGTGGTGGAGATGTGTGTGTGTGTGTATATATATATATATATATATATGTATATGTATATATATATATATATATATATATATATATATATATATATAGGGTGTTTTAAGGAAAAATAGTCCTTAAATCATTTTTTTATATCTCAGATTTGCTACTGTTTTACCATCATCACTATTGTATATAAAAACTCAGAGGACACGTGTTTTTTCACTGGTTGTTTTGGCTAGTACATCAATTGGCTACGTCTATGTTGTAGACCCCTGGTTACTATCAACACCACTGTAAAGAAATTCAAATTGGTAAGTAGGTTCCTCTACAATGAACCACTCTTTGAGTTGGTTTACATCTTAATGAATGAATAATGCAGGATTAAGTGGAATTCCCATGTAAACATACTGCTCACAAGATTTTGGTGGTAAGCAGCATTTCAGTGGTAGCTTATGAATTTCTAGAAATGCTTAAATCGGGGGTACACAACTCCAGTCCTGGAGGGCCGGGATCCAGCACAGTTTGGAGGTTTCCCGGCTCAAACACACCCACTTAACCTGGCAATTAAAAGAAAAGTGTAATCAGGTGTGTTGGAACAGGTAAATCACTAAACTGTGCTTACATCTTAAGGACTGGAGTTGTGCACCCCTGGCTTAAATCATTTTGGAGATAATAAGACCCCCTTTTGATGTGATAGACCAGAGTTTCTTAATCCTGCTCCTGCTGCATTCAACACACCTGATCCAGATCATCAGCTGATCATGGAGCCCTTAATCCAGCTTGATCTGGTGTGTAGATTCAAGGAACATGTTAAACCGTGGAGTGCTGTGGGTTGTGAGAAGCAGGATTAAGAAATGCTTTAATAGACCCAAGAATGAGTTCCATATTAGCTAGAGATCTATACGATGGTAGACATGATTGTATTTACTACAGTTTTAACTACTTCTAGTACAGTAGGAACAGTCCAGTGATTTTCTTTTTGTGCTTTACTTTAGAGGCCTTTCACACAAAACACCAGAATTGTTCAGGGTATACATTTTCACAAAACCTTTTTTAATAATATGCTTTCCCGTGTTATATTAAAGCCTTTCTGTTTCTGTTAGGGATGGGCAATATATTGATGTTTATCCTTATTGTGATAAATTTATTTCACAGTACACTGACTAACAGCATGTTTCATTACAAAATAAGCGTAATTGGTTGTCTGTAAAAGACTTAAATGCAGTGCCTTGTGTGAATTTATGGTAGTTTTTAAATGTGGCACTACTAGCCCATTGTTTTTGGGCTGTTAGCTAATGACAGCCTTTTGCTTGTGAGCTTGTTTTGCTCGTGTTATCGATTGTATTCTGAAGGTAAAAGAGCTTGGACTAGAGGCATTCAGGGGTGGGTTTTAGAGGGGGCATTTTGCCACAGTCTAGCGGCAAAAGTTTGGCAAGTTGTCCCCAAAATGGTTTTGAGATCACGTCTGGCCCCACGAGGCCTCAGAAAAACAAAATGTTGTGATGCGTGTAGTGACTGTTTCCTAGTATCACAATTTTGCCATATCGCCCACCCCTAATTTGTACTTGAGTTAAAATTTTGCCGTAGATTGTTTTTGTATTTTCTGTAATGTGAATGCTGTATTATATGTGCATATGTTTCTCATCTCAGGCATGTCTGAGTGAGATCCGGAAGCCTCTGGTGGATCTCGGAGTTAGCGAGTACAGCATCATCTCAGCCATCACCACGCTGAGCGACAAAGAAAATGACCTGGGCTTGGGCCAGACGCTGGATACACACTCTGCAGCCTTCTCCAGTATGGATGTGGCTCTTTTCAGACAGATCGCCCTGGACTTGCGTGAGTTAAAATGCTGCTGACTGTTCACAGATTACAGTGTGTAGAGGAAACTGATGAAGTTTGTAACAGTAAAGTGATTCTGGCCACCATAAGTCTAATGCTTAAAAAGGGGAGCCAACAAGGTCGTCACTGGTTCGAATCCATGGATCGACTACACAAAGGAACAGAATATTCTAAATCAGGTCTCTTCTTAATCATGTTTACTGCTCATGGACATGATTAAGTCCTGGAAGAAAGTCCTGTTTGCAATTTTCTTCTGTTTCTGAAATTCAGCTGTTGAGAAACAGCCCTGGATTTTCTCACCTGGATTCAAATATTGTCTCACAGGTGGCTTAACTCTGTTCTGTCTGACTCATCTCATGCCACTCCTAGTTCAATGATCTCATCATTTTCTTTTATAGCTCTCTTCTACATCTCAGAAATCTTTCACCAGTCAGTGCAGTGCAGGAGGTGATATGCTTTTCTCATGAATACAGTATTGATACAATAGTGATACAATATTGAGATCTGCTTTATTTCTCGTGAGTTGAAGAAAGACCTAAACTTTTCCTACATTTGTGTGGTTGGAAATTACCTGCTGCAGTGGCCTTGGGCAGGGCATGTAGCCCGTTTTTCCACAAGTGGTGCTGCTCTTCTTAGTGCCGGTGTGCTGCTCTCACACTAAGCATTGTCGGGGTACAAAATGACCAGTTTCCCATAACTTGGACTGAACAGTGGATCAGTGTAGTATAACAACTTTAACTTGGCCTTAATCGTTATGACTTCGTCATGATTATAGTAAAGGCCAAAACTGTTCTAAGTTATGAGATAGTCGCCAGAATGAAAACTGCAACATCTGTGGTTCCACTCAGCTTTGGTCATAACGGAATCACTGGAAGAGGAAGGGTGCGGTCTGGCAGAGATTGTGGTGTTTTGGTTTGAAAGTTTTCAGTGTGGTTGAAAATCCCTCTGAAACCACCAGGGGGCAGAGTCTCCTTACCAAAGCACCAAGATATGATACAGGCATTTCACTTCTGCTCAGTTCACTCATTTAAGGTTTCACCAACATAAGCTTTCTTTCATCATTTGAATCTATAATGTTACAGTAATCTCCATTAAAATCAGTAGAGATATTGTAAGCACTTAGAGCACAAGTGGGAAGATTTTGGAATTGGTTTGATACAGGGCTGATAAATGTAGTGGGTGAGTGGATATGGGTTTAGCTATGTACACTGTGCCTTTTTGAAATGTGTTGAGGTTCTGTGTTTGCATCTTGTAATTTTCTTATCTTATTACCTTGTGTGTCTTCACAGAGAGGTCTTTTCCAATGCACCGCTCACTAATGGGAGACAGTCCTGAAGCTATTGAGGGTCAGGCCAAGCTTTTCAGAGTGCTCACAGCATATGCTAAATATAATCCTCAAATTGGGTACAGCCAAGGTGAGTCTCAAGCTTTTATTTTCAGAATTGTTTTTATGTTGCAGCATGAATTATTGTTACACGCTATAAACCGATGCACTATATGTCCAGAAGTGTCCAGATTCCCTTTCTAATGAATGAACGTAGTGATTTTTGATAATGGTAAATTGATAATTTTGACAAAGAGTGAATTTGAAGGTGCACCAGTTGCTGTTCAGATGTGCCACATAGCTTTTATAATCTCCATAGCATTGACCAATAGAATGGGATGCTCTGGAGCAGCTGCACATGAGCTCATGGTCACCATGTGCAATGCCAAGCGTCAGCTAGAGGGGTATAAAGCCCATAATATTGGGCTGTGGAGCAGTGGAACTGCATAGAGCTCCGTCCAGCACCTCTGGGCTGAGTTGGAGTGACATTTGTGATCCAGATCCAACATCACTGATAATACCTGACATCACTAATGCTCTTTTGGCTGAATGCAATCAGATCCTCACAGCAATGTTCCAACTTCTTGCATAAAGCCTTCACAAAAGAGTAGAGGCTGTTACTACAGCAAAGAGGGACAAACTTGTGGACATATAGTGTATTACTGGTTAGTTGCAGTGATATTTGTCCATTGTCTTAATTTGTGATGGAGGTCTTTTAAAAGCATCTACAGCTGTGGAAAGATATCAGAACTTGCTGCTATATAATCTTTTTAGCCTTACTTTTACCCACAAGATGGCAGTAGAAAACCATTCATAAGCAAAACTAGTTTTAGACAGTATTTAGACAGTATCTTCAAGTGCTTACTTAGTCTTAATTGGCTTATTTACAATTTTAAAGTTTTCTTTGAAAGTTCTATGAGAACAGTGGTGTTTGACGCTGGTTGTTTTTCTCTCATTAGGAATGTCTTACATTGCTGCGGTTTTTCTCATGCTCCTGGGGGAGGAGGAAGCTTTTTGGGCTTTAGTGGTTCTACTTGAGAAACCCAAATACCTGTCTGAACTGTTCGACTCCTCTGTCAAGAAGTAAGTTTGTAAGTAAGGTTTGTGCTGTGGAGAGGAATTTGTGCCAGATTGAAAAGCAATCACTACAGTGGGAGCACGTGAAATACAGTGCACACATGACATTACTTTTCCGTAGTGACATGCAGAATACGAGTCGAAATAATAAACAAATTCTCTATTGCATTGTTTTCACTCTGCTTAACCTTTTTACTGAAACAGTGCGTGAGGATTTGCATTTTAAAAACAAAATGCTGAATTCTGTCAGAATTGAAGACAGTCTGCCTTGAAAGACATGACTGTATTACTTTCCACAGTGCACTGCAGTCCTTAAAACAGCGTTAAATCAGTGCAAGGGATCTTTCACTTTTCATTTTGGCGCACTTTCATATGTGTGTGCGCATTGCGTTTCACTGTTTTGGTTGAATTCCAGTGAGGCAGATACATTAGAAGTATAAAAAGGAGGCCAAGCGACATGAAAACAGTGCAGTAGAGGTGTTGCTTTTCATTTTTGCACATATTCCACGTCATGAAAAAGTACTGTAATATGTGCATTGCATTTCACTTGTTTCAACTGTCATGATTGCATTTTAGTGAAGAAAATCTCTTTTAAGTACTGCACGGTGAAAAGCAATACAGCTGTGCCTTCATTACGTTTTAAAGTAGATTGTATTCAATTCTGACATGAATTCAGTGTTTATTTCTAAAATGCAAATCCTCATGTGTTGTTTTTAGTGAAGAGGTAAAGCAATGTAGTATGTAGCAGTGAAACAGAGGATTTATTTTTATTTTGGCTCATATTCTTCATGCCACTGTGAAAAAGAAATGTCATCTGTGCATTTATTTCAGATTTGTCCACTGTAGTGATTGCTTTTTAACCTGGCACGAATTCCTCTCCATAATGTCCTGCCTGTAAAATTTCTTTTCAAACAGTTGACAAATGCAGTTTATTGGTAGATCTTCAATCATGGCGGTGTATTTGATTTAAATATACAGTAGCATGCAAAAATGTGAATAACCGTGGGTTTTGTTACGTTATATTTTGTTTAACTTTTAACTTAAATCTGACATTTTTCTGCCCAGTTTCACGCACTATTTCTGTTTATTTGTTGGGTTTAACACATTGGAAAAAAAAACAAAATATAATATGCAACATGACTTTTGGACAGGCCCCATTTCATGTTTTATTCTTTTCTCAAAATGTTAAATTCCACAGACAAATAGTAAATATTCATGAATAGTCAATAAATCATATTAAGATGTGCAGAAGTGTGTTCTCTGTAGAGGATGTTAACTAATTTTCACAAAACATGTAATCGGACCGGGGTGCTTAAACTTATAAACTTAAGCATATGACTGACTCTACTCTTGTCTGCTTTATGTCATGAGCACCTGTTTTATGTGTTAACGTGGCTTGATGTATTTATTCCACAGGATCCAGCATCAGGCGCTGGTATTTCAGCAGTTACTAAAGCACCGGAAGCCACAGCTTTTCCAACACCTGGTAATTATGGCTCTGAATAGCACTTTACTTGTCATCATGACTGCTTGGCGATCACAAGGTTAAGCCACGAGCTTAAGATGCAAAATCATGTTGAATTGCACAGTTTTGCTATGATGACTGTTGGGCTAGCTTTGAACATAAAGGTCGAATAACCTGAAGAAATGGATATCCTATTCCTAATATAGGATATCCCAAAGGGGGTGGGGGATGACTCTAGATCAGCACTCATGATGATAACTGTGAGGAACAGCTCCATTACTGCAGCACCTTGCATGCACTGTCTGACCCTCTCACTGGCTCGCTTTCAGTCAGTCTCTTAGGGCATCTAAAACTGGGCTTGCTCAGCATCACCCATCTCATTCAGATAAACATAGCACGCGCTGTACCAACAGACACAGACATTAAAGTGATTTTCTCCCCTTATCCCAGCTTAATCAGGCAAGACGTGCTTGATGTACAAAATTTGCATTTGTTAGTTTTCCACAGGAGCTATGAGGCTGATGTCACTAACAAATAGAATGTATAGCCACCAGTTAGCATCATACAAACTACATACTTAAATCATCACACACATCAAACCTTCTCCACTTAAGTAATCACTAACAGACTTACATATGTGGTTTTTGACGCTGTATGATGTACTGTTATCTATAACAATGGACGTTGCCTGTATAACAATACGTCCTGACAGTATCTCAGAGTGGGTAACCACATTTCGGATCCTCTCTGCCTCAGCACTGGTGCTCCACATGGCTATGTGCTCTCTTCTCTGCTCTACTCTCTCCACACCATGACTGCACTTCCCAATCCCATTTCTTATTTTTACCCCTACCCCTTGTTTTTGATTGTCACCTTGACCCCTGGAACTGAGATACAAGGTGTAGTGCTTGAAATCTTCCCTACAAAATTGAACAAACCTCAAATAAAGAAGAGCATTACTTCATTAACAGCTACTAGCGCTGCTCTGTAGGTGACCCTGCCAGTCTGCAGTGATAGTAGAGGAAGGTAAAACTCAGCAACCTCACTGCTGGGCTTTAGTTACTTTTAGGTAATATGAAGCTGAAGTCAGCTATTAGCCAGCTTCTTATTCAAGTTTTCTCGTGCCACCTTAAATGGAGCAGGGATTACCTTCTGGTGGCTCAGGCATCAGAACTGCTGCATCATTTAAGGTGGAACAGCAAATTTAGCTAGTTAGCATGCTACTAGCGTTTTTTTATGCTTGCTATGAAGAAAAGGACCATAATACATTGAAATGACATTAAGAAAAAGTTAATATGATGGTTATCGTAATTTTTAACAGAGAAAATTCTCACATTTGTGGGTTTCTTTGGTCACTTGTGCAGCCATCTTGCCTTTTTTTTCCTTTTTTCTCATAACATTCTGTTTGGAGTGTGACTCATTTTGGAGGGCCTTGTAGCCCTAACACTTCGCCCTACGCCTCTGTCTCAAAAACTGGGATACCCTACCCCTAGACGTGAACGTGCAGAATGGAGGGGTAAGGGCTAAGAGGTAGGGGCAAGGGGTGAAGTAAGGTTGGGCCTAAAAGAAACTCTGCTAAACTTATAAAGTTTGCAGATGACTCTTCCTTGGTTGGTCTCATCTCATCTTGGTCGTCCTCTTACCGGGAGGAAGTAATGCGGCTCTTATTGTGGTGTGGAGCTAACAACCTGGAGTTAAACACAAAAAACTGTGGAGATGGCCATTGATTACAGAAAGAAACCCACCCTACTGGCTCCCCTGGAAAATACATCGCTCCACAGTCAGCAGAGCAGAGTCTTACAAATTCCTGTGCACCACCATTTAGCAGCATCAAATGGGACAGACACAGCATTGAGGTTATGAAGAATCTTTACCGACAAGCGCTGTTAGAATCCATTATCACATCCTCCAATTCCATATGGTTCGGCTCTGCATCTTCGCACACCAAGCGTAAGCTACAACAAACAGTGCGACGTGCAGAGAAATTCATCAGCTGTCAGCTTTCCATCCTCAAAGATCTTTACTCATCTAGGATGAGGAAGAAGGTGGGGAAAATCATGGCTGACCCCTCGCACCCTGGACACACTCTGTTCCGGTGGTTTCCATCTCAGAGGTGAACAGTCACCTCCAGTGCTTCTTTCCCCAAGTCATCATCCTTCTAAACAAGGACACTTCTTACATCCCTGTGCTTTAAACTGCTGCACATGCACTTTTTTTTTCACACACATTGCAATGAACATGACCACTGTATATCACGTACCATAATTCTTCTGAATTGAACATGTTTCACTTTACTCAGTGCACATATGCACTTTTAACTTATTGCAATATACTTAAATTTATATTAGCAGCTTAATTCTTTTAGCTGGACATAATGTTTATATGTGTTTCAGTACTTGAGTGTAACTGGGCTCTCCTCAATTGCACATCCTTTCTATTACAGTTTGTAAACTGTCTGATTTTTGTATATTCGTAGTGTATTTGTATATTGGAAGTATTTCATAGTATATCTTTCAAAAGTTATATTGTTATATTTCATTTTATGTTGACACCCACACCAATAGAAATTCCTTGTACATCTGGTACTTTGTGAATAAAGATTTGGACTTTTATAGATAATACTACGTCCCGCAGAGTCAAAGGTCAAATGTGTCTAATTATGGTGATTTAGGAATGCAGTTTGCACAGTGCTAATTGGTGGGATATATGCTTCTATCTTCGTAGCTCCAATATAAAATTACAGAGGTAGACTTTGGACACCAAATATGTCTTCACTCATCAGCTCCATTTGAGATAACCTTTAACTTTAGAAAGCCTTCACTTTGTTGTCTATGTGGTTTGAATGTTTGCATTCAGAGTGCTTCCAAAGACACATCTGTGCTTGAAGGATAAGTGATGAAATGAGTAAAAGTGACTAAATAAATTCAGTACATGGTAAAAAGATTTTGTTTTTAACAAGCTTTTAAAGCTGCACTATGAAAGATTTGGGAATTTGGCCCTCTGTGGTGGAAAAGTGTAATTGCATGCAATGCGCAGAAGAACATTCTGCGACATCAGCTGTGCTTCAAAAGAGAAGTCGGTCAAAACTTGATGTGAGTGAAGTACTATTGTCATCATATCTTCTTCATTATAATATTTTGCATTTGAGACTCAGACATCAAGCTGAACCTTCATTATGAGCCTTTATGTGACGTTTATGTAAAGACATATGATGTGGTCTGAAAAACGCCAGTGAAATCTGACCTGATGCCTCTGAGTTTTTTATTTTACTACTTCAGGCTTTACAGGGTGACTCGCAGCAGCGCACGCAGACCATGGTTTAGTGTTTTTTTTTTTTTCTTCCTGACTCAGTAATGCTATTTCTTTCACTGTTAACCAAAAAACCTTAAATAGTGCTGCTTTAAGATGTCGGTTAGCAGAATACAGTTAGAGGAACACAGGTTTGGTTCCTGACTTTCTTACTGCGCTCCAGCCACTGCATGGATTTGAATGAAGGATTGGTTAGATAAACTAGTTCAGAGGTGCTCCTGGTCCTGGAGATCTACACTGGAGACCTGATCTAATATCTAATATTCAGATGCCCCTGAAGGCCTTCATTACTTGGATCAGGTGTGTTAAAGTTAGGGTTGAAGCTAAACTCAGCAGGGTGGTAGATCTCCAGGACCAGGATTGGCCATCTGTGGATTATGTGTTGGATGATAACTGTAAATACTGAACTTTCTTGAGAACAGCTTTGGAAATGGTTCCGCACATCAGATAACAATGTATTGGTTATTTATTTGTATTTATTGTCTTATGTTAGTGTTTTTTTTTTTGTTTGTTTTTTTAAACAAATGAACACTTGTTGCCCAGAGTAATAGCTCTCTTATTCTCGTTCTTCAACACTACGTTTTCACATTCTTCATAAAACAGAATGTTAATTACCCGTCCCTTGGCCGATGTCTCTTTCTCTGCCTAGTCCACTCTTCCCTCTGTCTCTCTCCAGGAGAAACTGGGTGTATCATCTCTCCATTTCGTCATGCAGTGGTTCCTGACTCTCTTCACCGCTCTGCCCTGCTGGGACTCCGTTCTGGCTATCTGGGATCTCTTCTTGCTACATGGTATAAATAATAATATTAATATAATAATAATAAATTTTATTTATATGGTACTTTTCATGCCAGTGGCAGCTCAAAGTGCTGTACAGCCAGGTGATAAAACATAGTTCTGCAAGAAATCATTAGTATTTATTTAGAATCATAAAATGAAACAGATCAAATTAGAAGATAAACACCACAAGACTTAGAGATTTAATTCAATGCTAAGTTAAAGAGATACATTTTTAGATGCTTCTTAAAGTGAGCACTGAGAACTGTTTCAGTTTTTTCATGATTTAATTGTAGAAAATTTTGCGACATCTTCTGAGAAATATCTGACACATAGCTGGTTAGTCTGTCTATAGAGTTGTGATCTTCAGAAGGAATATAAATGTATAACTGGGTGTTTTCAGCATAGCTATGAAAATTTATACTGTTTCCTATTGACATCACCTAGAGGTAGCATGTACAAAGAGAAAAGCAAAGGCCCTAAGACTGAACCTTGAGGGACTCCACAAGAAATGGCAAATCTTTTTGATGAATGTTTTTCAAGTAAAACTATAAACTGCCCATTACTTAAATATGATTTAAACCATTCTAAAACTGTGCCCGAGAGGCTGACCCAGCATTCAAGATGCTGAATTAAAATCTTGTGGTCAACAGCATTAAAAGCTGCACTAAGATCTGATAAAACCAAAATAGAAGGACTTTGTGCATCAGCACTGAGCCTGAGGTCATTCATAATAGTACTTCTACAGCCTAGTGCTGAATCAGCAGCCTTTCTGTGCTCGGTTCACTGTATGTTACTGCTCAGCAGTCTGAGAACTCTGCTAAAACTGAAGAAATTCAGCACTCAATCCTAGCAAAGCTTTACTGCCATAGTGCTTTCAAACATGTTGCTGAAGTTGAAGTCATGTTACTGGCAGGCGTCAGCTGAATAGAAGAATCTAGATAACATGAGTGCTTCATTTTTGAGTACAAAAAATACTAAATAGCTTTTGTTTATTAAAGCTTGAGTTATGCTTGGCATAATGGCTGTGTTCTCACTCTGCTTGCCAAATGTCATGCTGACCCACACACTGATTTTTATGACTTGATCTGCCAAAATGTAGCCTGGCAAATACAGTGGTACACAGAAGTTTGAACAGTCCTGGTCAAATTACAAGTTTTGTTCAAGTAACTATAAGATGAGTGCATGGAACAAACTTAAATATGACTTTTTTCCATAAATTTAGTCTTCAGTTTCTAATTTTATTGAGTTCAAGATATTTTGGCACAGGTCACATTTTATGTTTCTTTCACTCAATATATTAAATTCAGCAAATAAACAGTAATTGTGCACTAAAGCGTGCAGAAGTGTGTTCTCTCTAGAGGATGTGTTATTTGTTTTGGCTTAGAAAATCAACAAAAAATTTAATTTGACCAGGTGCGGTCAAGCCTTTGCATGCTTAGATCTTAGCACTCAAAGCAGGTAATGTACTGGAGATTCAACCATAGAAATGAATAAAGAAGATAAACATTTTGCACATGGAGTTACCAGACAAAGTGAATGAGAGAGAGTGGCCTCAGAAGCAATCTGGGAGAATATTGGGAGTATTTAATAAAATAAATGTGGAAAATAAGTCAAGTAGGAGGCCTGTTTTATGTTTTGGTTCTCCTTGTGACCTTACTCTACTTTCCTTGATGTTTGAGGCTTTTGGTTGCCACAGATTTTAGCTGTCAGAGACCAAACGTTTCCATTCTGTAGAGATAAACTGAAAAGGAAGGAAAAGAAAGAAACAAAGAAATAAACTGCTTTTAGTCTCTACAGTTCGGTTTATGTCAAAATTGAGTTATATTTTCAGTTTGTGAGAGTAACTGTGTGTCTCCCTTTCCCTCTCTCACCATGTCCCCTTCTTCGTTTCTCCTCTCTCTGCCTCCCTCTATTTATCTCTCTTTCTAACTCTCTCCCTGTTTCCTCTCTCTCCCCTGTTCCCCATCTCTCTCTATCTCCCCTCTCCCATCTGTCCCTTTCTTCCTCTCTCTCTTTCTTGCCCTTTTTCCCATTCTCTCTTTCTCTCTCTCTTCTCTCTCTCTCTCTCTCTCTCTCTCTCTCTCTCTCTCTCTCTCTCTGTCCCCTCCCCATCTCTCTCTCTCTCCCATCTGTCCATCTGTCCCTCTCTCTCTCTCTCTCTCTCTCCTGGTCACTTATTCTCTCACACTCACTCACTCTGCCTCATCTCTCTCTTCCTGTCTCTCTCTCACTCTCCCTGTCTCACACTCACTCTCTCATCGTCTCTCTCCCTATCTGTCTCTCACTCACTTTCTCTCTCTCTCTCTCTCTCTCTCTCTCCTCTCTCTCTCTCTCTCTCTCTCTCTCTCTCACTCTTTCACACATGCACACACACTCTGTCTCTCTGTATCCCTCTCTTTCTCTCTCTCTCTCTCTCTCTCTCTCTCTAGGTCTGTTGGCAGTGTTTCGTGCTGGACTGACCATCCTGCAGCTGTTGGAGCCTCGTCTGATGAATATGACGGAGGAGGCAGCGGTGCTGCCTGTGCTGCTGCGCGTGCCTGTGGATGTGTGAGTGTCACAGTCTGAACCATGTCTGTACCCCCTCATCACTGATACAGTATCTTCAAAGTACAATAAGCAGTATTTTAATTTTAGTTATCAGTAGCAAAACTATCGTTTATCACACTTGGTCTCAAAGTCTTTATTTGGGTCCCGTTTGTACTGCTCTGTGACTCATGAGTATTATGATAACCTCAGCCATTAGACTATATTAGAGCACCAACTTGGTTGGGACAGTTTTAATGACTAACCCATTACATTTAAATTGTTTTTAGTATTTGCAAGTCATTTTCATATGGTGAAGGTGATGCTGGGCTACTGTGCTAAAATAACTGCATTTTATTTATTTTACATTTGTGATTGTATAGAAATAAATAATACACGTCTCCATAGTGCTAATCCAGGTAGACTCATTCCCAATTTCGACTTTTTGTAAATGTTTACGTATTTGCATCAGCAGATACAATAAAATTCTGTGATGTTGTTAATGAAAATACATTAACACGTCCTCTACAGAGAACACACCTCAGTACATTGTAACGTACTATTACTGTATATTTTTAAAATATGGCCTGTGCAAAGGTTATGTGTCCTGTAGAAGGTATGTGAAGCTATTTTCACAATCAGCAAAACAGGTAATGTGCCCTGGGGTGTTAAGATATCAGCATCAGTCCACATTTCTTATTTCGTGCATCCCTGCTGTTTTGGTTTAAGCAGAAAGCTGAAAGAAAAAGTGAACCGACTAAGGCGTTATGGCCGGTAGTTAAGAGTACATGTGAGAAAGGGGCATTTCTTTGAAGGGGTTGGTAGAAAAGCCTATCAGATTTCTGTCTTGGCATCTGTTCAACTCAAACATCAAACACAAAAGGGAGCTCACTTCAGGGTCAGCATGAAAATGTTTTGTTGATATAACGCTCGCTATGGCAACCTAGCCAGGATTTTATCGACCGGTGACCTGCAGAAATCGCTGAACTAGCACTGGAGACTTCAGTTTACTTCAGAGTGATCTGACTTCCTACCCTCATGTGAAAGTCCCTCATGTTTTTTGTGAAGTCCTTTCAGTGCGAAACTTTGATTCACTGGGGGTGCGTTGCCGAGACAACGGTGCCAGGCCTTTCCCTATGTACCCCTTGTTATGGTATGGTCCATATAGAAACTTCAGTCATTCGTTTTCTCTGTTTACTTAGTCTGCTTCTCTTTACCACATGTGAAAGTTTCTGATCATCTTGTAATCAGATGGGCATTTGGTGCCACTGGGTTGAATACTATGTTGGGAGAGCATGACTGCGTCCATGTAGCAAGCTATGTGCTTTGTTTGGCTCTTTAGCCTTTTGTAAGCACAAATAAAGTCATTTGCTAGTTTCTAGTTTTGGGGGGGAGGGGGTAGTTGTGGCATTGACATGCAGATGCCAGCCTCTACAAAGACGCTACACATCAGGAAAAGGCTTCACGTTGCTCTGCTGGCACTGCATCCATGCCAGACAGGTCATGCCTAAGTGCTCCCCTCTGTTACTCGGTCTCTGAGGCTTTCGGTAGCCAGAGAATTGAGCCGTCTGAGACCAAATGTCTTCGTTTTCTGGAAAACAACGAGGGAGACGAAGAAAGAAAAGAAAAGAAAGACACAAAGAAAGAAGCTGTTCTGATTTTGGACCTTTGGAGAACATCATGTGCTCCTGAATTTTTTTTTAAAGGTGTAGTTTCGGTTTCTTCTTTACCCTGAAGGAGCGCTGGAGCTAATGTAGCTAATATATACATCACCTGTTAGCATTGTGGAAACTGCATGATTAAATCATACACTTGCCTAGAGCAGTATCAGATCAGAATAAACTCAAATAGACTTAATTATGTGGTTTCTTTTACTGTCTGACTGGCTGTCTATAAAATGAACAAAAGTGCTGACAGTATTCATTCTTCAGTATAGCTGTTAATGTTTTAGCTCTGCAAGCCAAGTCAAAGTTTATTTATATAGCGCTTTTTACAACAGGCATTGTCACAAAGCAGCTTTACAGAAAAATCTGGGTCCGAGCTTCCCATGAGTGTCACCAATGGCGACAGCAGCAAGGAAAAACTTCCTAAGAGCAAGAGGAAGAAACCTTGAGAGGAACCAAGACTCAAAAGGGGAACCCATCGTCCTCAGGTTGACACCAGATAGCAAACAGCAACACGAGCAAGATAATAGGGAATAGGGTTTAAACATTAGCATAAAAAACAGGTGAGACAATGGTAATAAATAAATAAATAAATAAATAAGTGAATGAATAAATAAATAAATAAATGTAACAACAGTTTGTTTACTTTTATATATAACATATTCCATATAGTATCACAAATTATGTAAGCAAGTCTATTTGAGATTACTTTAAGGGCCATATCCTATTTTTTCTTGTTTTTTTTTAAATTATATACAGTTGCATGCAAAAGTTTGAGCACTCCTGGTCAAATGACCTTTTTTATTTTCTATGTGACAGTAAGTTAACACATCCTCTACAAGGAACAAATTTATATATCCCATTTTTCTGCAAATGTTAGTGCACAGTTTCTATTCATTTGCTGAGTTTAATATTTTGGAAAAAACACAGGAGATAAAATGTGCCATAACTTTTGCACAGGCCACATTGTATGTTTTATTTTTTCCCCAATGTATTAAATTCAACAAATAAACAGTGATTGTGCATTAAAATGTGCAGAAGTATGTTCTCTGTAGAGGATGTGTTCACTTATTTTCGCATAATAAAACAACACGTCATTTGACCAGGGGTGCCCAAACTTTTACACACAACTGAATGCTAATTAGCTGTGTTCTGATTGGCTGCCCTGTATTGTGCCTCATTCAAATACTAGTCTGTTCTGAAATGCTCCTTCTAACTTTGGCATTAATGAGCTGGCTAAAACGCTTAGACTGAATAGGTGGATATATGTACATGTATGGGTTTTTGTGACGTCACAAACACTGAATTTGAAAGGGGCTGTTTTTGGAGCTTAATTTCCCTATATGGACTGTATGAACTGGGGAGTGAATGGTTTGTTTTAAAACCTTAACAATGTTTACATATTAAATTAAACGCTTTTAGTTAAAATAAAAAAGGCAAATTGTTTTTTTTTTTTACAGAGTATGGGCCCTTTAATGAACTGACATTAGGCCCAATCCCATTTCACCCCTCACCCCTACCACTTAGCCCTTAGCCCTCTGTTTTGTGTGTTCACGTCTAGGGGTAGGGTGTCCGGATTTTTGTTGAGATAGAGGGGTAGGGTGAAGTGTTAGCGCAACAGGGCCCTCCAAACGGAGGTTTTTTCAAGAGGCACACTCCAAAAAAACTAAAGAAACTGCAAGATGGCTGCACGAGCAACCAAAGAAACCCACAAATGTAAATGTACATTTTCTCTGCTAAAATTGCGATAACCGTTGTATCATCTTAATTCAATGTCGTTTCAATGTATTATGGTCCTTTTCTTCATAGCAAGCATAAAAAATCGCTAGTAGTATGCTGTTGTCTCGGAAGCTAGCTAGCTAAATTTGCCGTTCCACTTTAAATAGTCCTGCAGTACTGATGCCCGAAGCGCCAGATTGTAACTGCTGCTCCATTTTGGTGGAACAGGAAAATTGAAAAAAGAAGCTGGCGAATAGCTGACTTCAACTTCATATATCACCAAAGAATTTTGGGTGGGTGATGATAATAATATGCTTTTCCCTAAATGTAACTAAAGCCCAGCAGCGAGGTAACTGAACTTTACCCTCCTCTGCTATCACTGCAGACTGGCAGGGTCGCCTACAGAGCAGCGCTAGTAGCTGTTAATGAAGTAATGTTCTTCTTTATTTGAGGGTCCCATTTCATAGGGAAAGATTTCAACCACTACCCTTTGTAACTCAGTTCCAAGGAGCAAGGTGGCGCTCAAAAACAAGAAAGAAATGGGATTTGGGTTTAGTACAAGGTGAAAACTATGCAAAGTTAATTTGAACTATCCCTTTAAGCCCGATTTAACTCCAAATTAGAGGAGAAATTGAGTATCATTTGTGATTATTTTCCTCTAGAGACACAGTTGATGTCTCAGCCAGCTGGCCTGGTGCTGTCTGCAGCGAAGTAGCTGTCTGTCACCTGTCAGAACAGCCTGTGTGAACAGTATAGTCCCTCTGTCACAGAGCTGCTGAGGTGCCCTTGCTTTCCTTCTTTCTCTTTCTCTCTCTCTGAATACGCCCTGTTCCATTCACTCGCTGACCTGCTGCCCCCTGTCCTGACTTGACAGCTCATTTGTTTGCTACTTTTCAGTGACAGGGCCACTTCAGGGCACGGCGACTTTGTTTTTTTTTCCTCCTGCTCCTTACATAATGCTCACTGGGGGTTTTCAGCGCTGGCAGCCAGCTTTCCTCCATCCTTAAGGAGCATTTTGGAGCTGTTAACCTTCGCCTTCAGTAGCAGAGGGAGGGTGGGAAGCCTTTGTTTTGTGGTTTTTGTGCCACTGATTGGTTGCGTGATTAATGCTGCCGCTTTAAACATTTTGACATGGCTGACTCAGCCCTGGCCAAACGGTAAACACTTCCCAGAAGATCTGCTACAAATGGTCACTACTGTGCTGTTTAGTTGTATTTCCTTAATATACTGCAGTCTAGAATGTAGTACAGCTCACTCTCTCTTGCAGGCTGTTTCCCCAGATGTGAGAGACAAACAGATGCCAAAGCCGCAGGGTCATATAGGGTGAAGCTGACAAGGTTATACAGCTTCTGGCTGAAAAACTAGGATGAGGGACAGCAGTGTGTCTTAGTGTGAGATACAGCCTCTATTGTATGACAGATTTGTACATAAATCTGTGCTGTCTGTAGGAAACCAGAGACAAACAGTGTATACCTACAGAACCCACAAAATGGCTTTGTGAAGATTTTTAAATGCTTTCACCAACTGAATGGGTAACATCTCTTTGTTTACTGAGGTTAGAAACTATGCATATATAAGGGAAAATTACCCAGAAGCCTCAGCAGCTAAATTTTCAGTATTTAGGGTGTCAATCCTTTGCTTTTAGACTTGCTTTCTGTTTTTTTTAATGAAAATGGAAATTTCTCCAGAACTCCAGAGTTCAGTTTTAGAATTTGGTTCCTTCTCACAATCCAAGTAAACCCAAACACATCTGGACAGTCTGGACTCTGGGGTGGTCACTTCGTTGTTCTGAGAACACCAGCAGCTTCTCAGTGAGGGCTTCTTGACAGCTACACATCCTTTCAGACCCATAGCGCTCAGTCGTCTTCTCACAGTGGAAGGATGGACAGAAACACCTGTGGATTTTTTCAGATCTGAAGCAGCTTGATTTTCTCCTCTCTCTCAAAGATGAAAGCTTTAAGTGCTGTTTATCCAATAGGGACAGTTCTGGTGGTCTTCCAGGTATTGCACAGTTGTTAGGGGTCCTATTTTCTCTGTGGCTTTTAATCACTTTTTGTAAAACCCCTTTTTTTAAAGTTTATTTTACTTTTGACTTTCTCATTCCGTATGTAAGTACATTATTTAATATATAATTCCCTTATAAATATCTACTGAAAAATGAAGAACTTGTACTTAATAGTTTTTCTGACTTCTACACTATTGTGTGGACTACATTATTGTTTATATATATGTGTATATATATATATATATATATATATATACACATATATATCTGTATATAAAATGTGTGTGTGTGTGTGTGTGAGTGAGTAACTCCACATCCTGATGTTTGAAAACAAAGGTCTCTGCATGTGTGTTCCAGCGCCCAGTACTCTGTCCTGATTCCAGCCCTGTGGAGCACTGAGGTGCAGGAGTGGGAGATCAGCTGCATGAACAGTGTCATACTGGAGGAGACTGCTGAGGGACAGAGCACAGGTACACATGGTGCACACACAGCAAGCAGTGGGATTCTGTTCACATTTCACACCTACAGGCTCAAATACTTTTGTCAGTCATATACGCAAATAATCTACTGACCTACTAAACCTAATGAATAGTAACTTTTCTCTGTCCATTTGTCTCCCACTATACATGCCCTTCAAAAGTTGCTTTCCTTTTGAAATGCACATTTTCTCACAGTTACATTTAAGGAATAATTAGCTTCAGCATTCACCTTTACATTTATCAAAGTGTATTCCTTGGTATGAAGAGCAGATTTTGCCTACATAATAATTTGACAGGTTTCTTTTCCAAACTATTGGTAAAAGCTCATATTGAATGTTCTTTGACTCAGAGCTGGTTTAAACACCTGAAAGGTTTAAGCACTGGTGAGTGCTCACGTCACAACAAGGGGGTGCATGGTTTTGCATTATTATTATTGCTACTAATATTGTTGCAAATATTTAATTGATAATTGTTTTCCTCTAAATAAAGCTGCTTAATCTGTGTAAAGTTATTTCAAACATAGAAAACATTAGCATTTGTATTATAAGCTGGTTGTCCCTTAACATTTTAGGGTTAGTGTAATCATAACCAGTGTGTAGTATAGTGGACTGCATTTGCACAATAGTCACATTACAGTGCTTGGACGCAAACCTAAATTCCATTAATAGGTCCCAGCTCTACTCTGTGGTACATTCAAGAGGCTTATAGCAGCTTTTCTACACTGTAGTGCCGTTACACTTGTAGGTCAGGTGTAATGGACTGAGTGAGACACGGTAAAGGGCTTCAGTGGTGACTCCCTGTTCCCAGTGAGTACCCCCTATCAGTGGAACCGTGACAGCAGTGCTTTTGGAGTGGATGGTTTGATGAGCACTTAAGTGGATTCTTTATAGGAACAAAATGTCAACTGCATCTCGTGTTTGGCCCAGGGGACGGCTGAAGGGACCGCCCCGCTTCCAGAGCACAAAGCACACTCTGTGTGCACTCGGGGTGTGTAGTAAGAGAATTCTTAGGCTAAAGCAGAAGACAAAGGGCTAATAAAATGTAGATTCATTCTCCATAATGCTAATCCATGTAGATGTTAATTGTGTTTGTGATGTTATGAAAACCAACTCCTTCACATATCTGCCTATTTAGCCTATAGCAGTTTAGCCCTGTCCATTCACACTGAGGTTATACAGATTGTTTCAGCCCAGACTGCTTTTTGAATGAAGCACAATACTGGGCAGCCAATCAGAATGGAGCTTGTGTACGTAAATCAGTTTTAAAGTTACAATAACAAAAACAGCCAGAGAAATAAAGAGAGGTTTTAAAATGAACATGCTTTTTAATACATAAAAACACACAAGTGGACCTCAGGAAAACAAAATACTAGACAAATGTAGAATATGTCTAGTATTTAAGTAAGTGCAGAATTCCTATTATTTAACACAGCGAGTCAGCAGTCTTTATATAAAATTATTGGAGTACAATAATGAAAAAATAAAATATAGGAATAAAATCTGATGATGTTTTTGGTTATTGGAATTTTTACCCCCCTAAAATCTATATTAGTAAAATCTGAATATTTTTGTATTGGTCAGGCCCTAATAGTTTGTTTCACCTTTCCTTTGGGGAATCCAAGAAGTACAAGTCACTACATCACAGTGCAGAACAAATGGATGGTCGCTGTAACATACCATTAAAAGGAGATAGTTCAGTGAAGATCAGGTGCTCCTTTTTTAGTCAGCCACCAAGATGAAGCCCGTCTCACTGTCTGTGTTAAAGAACTCCCTCATTACGTTCTGTTCTGATTGTCACTCTTACGTAAGCTCCTTCCCCTGAGTGAGCTCCATGCTGTCTGAGCACATCTCTGACGCGTCTCTGGGGATTTCTGTCTTGCAACACTCAGCAGCATGCTGCTACCCTCAGTAACTTTTTCTTCTTTACTGGCAATAACATCTATCTGATCTCCAGTAGTACTATCGCAGAAAATTACAAACAAGTCTAGTCTGAACTGTCACAGAATGGCTTGTAACATGACATAATTATAATGTAGCATTTGTACCAGTTCCAGTCCAGCACCTGTTGATTGCCTTGATTTGCCATTTTATAGGCTTGAGGTTTGATTGCTGTATGTAATGTTCCAGACTGTGAGCTTTGTGTTATTAGGTAACTTAAAATTTAAAACAGTGTTGAATAATGTGGGATATAATTAAAGTTGCACTCTATCTAATTATAATATCGATATGAAAATGATTAATCGTTCTGCCCTAGCTGATACTCTGGAGCTTTAAGCATGGTATGGCGTCCACTGGGTAGGTGGTGGGATTACTGAATGTCAGTAGCTCTCCTCCCCTCCTTTTATCCCCATTACTTCTCTCTGCACAATGTTTAGCACCTCCTCTCAGGTCTGAGAGTAACCCTCCTCTCTCTGTATCTGTTTGGTTCTCTTGTGTGTGATTTATTTGGCTAGTTTGCTCTTCTGTGATTTACAGCAGTGTTAGCACTGAAGCAGACGTGACGGAGGGCTAGCTGACACGCGCTGCTCTGTCTGCCTCCAGTGACTCAACGCTTCTTAATGCATGAGAAACTCCCAGAGGCTCTGGCTGTGAGAGTGATGTGTACGAATAGCGGAGGCGTTTTATTTTTTGGGGGTTGCTTGGTGTGAAGTTAATTGAAGGGCATTTCTTATGCGTGTCTCCTAAGCAGAGACAGTGTGAGTCATCGCGAGCCATCTGCTGAGCCGTCAGACTTCACCATCACTCTGCTAGCAGCGTAATGAGAATGGGCCTCTCTCACTCACACATCCACACCCACCACTGAGCAGCCTCTCATTCTGTCTGGAACACCTGTTCAGTGGGAAACCACTGAATGACCGCAGCTCACAGACTTCTATCAGTGGTTACAGTGATTTAACAGTGCTAAATGAAGCAGTCCTCAGGTTAGCTGTCTTTGATCCTTGTTTGGTTTTGCCACTTTGGTGACCTCATAGTTGCCTGAGGCTGTGTGATGTTCTGTTGCTGCTGTGATCACAGCAGTCAGACACTTTGCACTACCTTATCAGCCCATTATTCTTTTTTTCAAGGATCCATGTGGCAGAATTTGCACTGAGGTCACTGAAATAGCATCCACATAGCACTTACAATAGATAGATTAGCTTTAAGGCTAGCCATGGAGTACAGTGTGTTGTCAATGGAATTTCCCCTTAAAAGTAATCAGCGAAAGAAGCAATTTACATGTTTACATTTACATTTGTGCTAAAGTTTTAAATAGAGATGGCCTATTAGTATAGATGGGTCTCTACATCGAGCTGATGTCAGTAGAAAATGCTGGATTGGATATTGGTGATTTAAAAAAAGGTCCAATCTTGTAATAAATTTATCCTTACATAGCACACACTCATGTTGTGTGGCATGATATGTTCTTAGCTGTGAATTGGGCAATTGAGCAATTGTTTTCAATCTACCAGAAAACATATATGCAATAGAGAATGATCAGTGGACCAAAAGAAATGGCCCAAAATGACTTGGAAAAAATTCTGGTTCCATTTACATTAAAAAGTAAAGTAGGTTTTTTCTTCTCCTGTAAAGTTGCCATTTTGGAGATATGAGGTCTTCCTCCAACAACAGCATTATAATTCTTCCTGATGCATCAATTTTAAAGGGAAATAGTGAATCATATACTTTGGTCAGAAATCTATTTTTTTAAATGCTACGAATCAATCTTATCACAATTGATTAAAAAATGAACTTGTTTAAACAAATACAATGGCTAGAAAATTAATACACCTCCTTTAACTAATTTAAATATTTATATGTACTTCACATGAGCTGGAATTACAGTAGAATAATCTACAGACAACACTTGTGAAAATGAAAAGCTAACATTTTTGAATAAAACATTTCTAATATTATTTAAAAATGAACGACTGCTAGTGGGGAACAGTTAGGGCCTTCCAGCCCTTCACAGAAGCTATAACTATTTCTGGGAATTAAAAATACATTTCTGTAATTTTTATTTATTTAGTTTTTATTGTACGTTTATTTTTATTCAGTAGAATCATGGTTATGTTTAAACTCCAGGTGTTGCCGTATTACTCTTGTTTTATTGTTAAGTTATGGATATAAACAACAGGGTTAAATTCTTGAAACATACAGTGGAAAACAATTCAGCCAGGAAGTATTTTTCTCTGTGGCATCTAGGTAGATAGACCTAAGCAAGCTCTTCTATTGGTTAGGACTTCAGGAGCTGAAGAGAAGGCCTGATGTGTTATATTAACCATCAGCATAATTACGAAGTGAAAGAGGAATCAACCAGTCAGGTTTTGGTTTCCGATAGGTGGGAGCAGTTGAGAAAAAAGGTCACTCAAGGCCTTCTGGAAGTTCTAGATAACAACTGTGACTGACTGTGAGTACGTCAGCCTAATCAGTGTGTTGTTAGTGATGGAAAACAGCAGCAACAGCTCTATACCAGAGCTCACTGCTGAAAGAATCTGCTACAAGGCAAAACATATGCTGATATGTCTGCCATAAGCTTCAAGTAAAACATGGAATGCCTTTCAGAAGCTTTTGATGTCTGTGCATAAATGTCTAACTTGATAGCTTGAATGAAAAACAGCTGTTGGTTATGGCCCTTCAGTTTGCCAGTGCAGATCCACACAAAGGCAGCAGCATTGGCTCCGCTACAAAGTTGTGGTAAAGTACTCATCAGGGATATAAAGAGATTTCCAATGCTTTGAAGATACCCCAGAGCACTGTTAAGTCCACCTTTAAGAAGTGGGAAGTGCATGACACCACCCACAATCTGCCGACATCTAGACGTCCCTCAAAACTTGATGACCGGGAGAGAAGACACTTGGTCAGAGAGACTGCCAGGAGCTGAAAACCTACAGGGTTTAATGGCCAACAGTGGAAAACGTTTAATTAAATTTATATCAGACTTTGACTAGCCAGTGAAAAATGGTGTTCTGTATTTATCTAACTATGACAAAGAAGGTAGTAAAGCTAGCTAAA